ATGGAGGGGGGAAGATGTCAGGGATGCGGGATGAGGGCAGCAGATGTGGGTACCGAGGGTTGTGAGCACAGTGGGATGAGGGTGAGTGAACAGGGGGGTGCCAGGGGATGGGGGTATGGGGTATCCACGGGCTGGGATTTCCCGGGGATGTGGCAGTAGGGGCGATGGCAGCAGGGCTGCGAACTCCACGGGGAGCTGGATGCTCAGGGGTTCAGGCACAGATTGCTGGGGGGTGTTTGTGCCTTGCCGTGCCCCCGGAGCTGGTGGGGAGGTCCTGGAGGCCATGCCAGGGTGCCAAGCTCCCATCACTGGGAGCTGGGATTCCCAGTGGATACGGGGGATACAGGGGCCACGGCCAGGGAATTGCTCCTGCCTGCCCCTCGGGTGTTGGCTCTGCTCGGGGACCTGGGGAGCGATGACTTCATGGCCTTATTAAGGACTAATTTCCATCCAGGCAGGGAAAATAAACAAGTGGAGGTGTCGTTCAGCATGGAAAGTTACTGGGGCTGTGGGGAGGCACTGCCTGCTTTCATACACAGCCCGGATTTCTGCCCTTACCTCCAGGCCGATAATCCCTAAATCCCAATGAGATTAAGGCAGGAGGCAAGGTGGCCGCAGTGCCTCCTTACCACGTTTCCCACATGACAAAACCCCGCGTCTGCCTAACCCCGATTAACCCGGGCGCTGAGCTCATCCCCCAGAAATACCGGGAGCAGCGAGGGTGAATGCCAGCCCCGGAGGCTGTGGGGAGGTGGGAGCCATGGCCAGAGGCGGGGGCGAGGCAGGAGCTGCTGTTTCACCCCCGTTGTTGTTCCCATCCCAGCAGATCCGGAGAAGCCCGCGGCAGCCATGGCGCTGGTGAAGAGCGGTTGGCTTTGGCGCCAGAGTAAGTGCCACCCTTGAGCTTCCTGGGTTGGGAGCCCCCCAGAAACACCTGGGGAGGTTTGCTGGGAAGAGGTGGGGTGTGGGGGACACCCAGAGCCCTGAGCTGAGCGGGTAATCCACAGGGAGATTGTGGCTCGGCCGCTCGCGGATTTGCGTCAGCGCAGAGAGAGAGGGGCTGCCTGCCATGAGAGCACACACGGCTCCGTGTCCAGGGCTGGATCCGCTCCCGAGCCTCAGCAGGGCAGCACCCAGCGCCCTGATGGCTTTTTTGGCAGCCCTTTCCCACTTAGAGCCACCTGCTCACGCTGCCCTGGCTGCTCGTGCCAGGCACAGGTGTCCCAGGAGGGATCCAAGTGTGGGGAATGAGATGGAGTCTTGTGAGTGTGCTGGCCGCGTCCCACTGGCCCTGCTGGGCTCCTGCAGCTGCTCCCTGTCCCACCAGGCTCCATCCTGCGCCGCTGGAAGAGGAACTGGTTCGTGCTCTACCTGGACGGCAGCCTGGTTTACTACCACGACGAGACGCAGCGGGACATGGACGGCCGGATCCACATCAAGTACAGCTGCCGGGACGTGCGGATCGGCCGCGAGTGCAAAGGTGAGCCGAGCCCCTGCTCCCACCCCTGCCTTCCCAGCCCCATCCCACGTGTGGCTGCACCTCTCTTAAACGAGGCTCCAGCTCTGCACATCCAGCAGACCCCCAAAATAACCCATTAATCACCCCAGGCTGCCCCATTCACCCCTCCTCACTCCCAGCCACGAGCTGCTGGATGGTCTCTGCCATTGCTTTTCCTGGGGGAAGGAGGGAAGGAAGGAGCAAGGAAGGAAGGAAGGAAGGAGGAAGGAACTCTCCTCCTGGTTAGTGCTTGTAACAAACAGGATCCCACGGCCCTGACTCATCGCTCACGTCTCGCACAAACAAGGGAACAAAGCAGCAGCTTGGCGGGCCCCGCAGCCCACGCCGCCGCACAAAGCGCCTTTCTGGGGCTGGGAGCAGCCGTGGGAGCACAATCCCACAGCTCTGTGCTCTCCACACGCTCCTGCCAAGCCTCAGAGGGGGAACACACACAAACCTCAGGGAATGAAGATTTTGCTCTTGCTGGAGCCCAAGATTCCACTCCAGCAATGAGCATCTCCCATCCCTACACAATTTGGGAGCGCTCCGGCAAGTTCAAAGCAAAGGCAGCTCGGCCTCGTGGCCTCGAGCAGATTTTTGGCAGTTTGCTGCCCTTCCATGTTCCTTCTGCCATGGGGGCGGAGGTTTCTGCCCATCAGCTCATTCCTTGTGCTGGCTTTCACCCTGTGAGACCCTGACAGCATCCTCCACGTGGAGAGGGAGCCAAAACAAAACGCAGCGCTAATTTCCATCCAGGCAGGGAACGGCACATGCCTCTTGTGCCAGGAGGGAGGTGCAGCCCGGGAAGCTCTGTGGGACTGCTCCTGGCCCAGGCTGGATCCCACCCCATCCCTCCATCCCTTCCCTCGCAGACGTGCA